AGGACGCCCCCTGGTGGGCTGAGCTGGCCACACACACACACACACACACACAAATAAATATTTAAAAAAAAAAGAATTAAGGCGTGTTATGTGCATGTCCCCGCTCCCCAGTATCACAAACCACAAATGTAAACTATAAGTTGGAAAGAGAAATGAGATGAAGAAGGAAGGCGACAGAGAGAGAGAGAGAGAGAGAGAGAGAGAGAGAGAGAGAGAGAGAGAATCCTGGAACCTTTGAGCCGAGCTGCGAAGGAATGGGGTTAGGAAGGGAAGCCTAGCAGGACCCAGGCAAGGAGTGACTGAGGCTGGACAGCAGGAAGGGCCTGAGGACGGGGAGAAAGGTCAGCTAGAGCTGGGATCAGTGGACAGGACAGGGAAAGGGTCTGAGGATGTTTCCAAGGTGTGTTGCCAAGGCAACCAGACCACCAGCCAGTCCTCACCCTTGCTTGGCCCTGGAAGCAGAGAGGGATCTGCTGACCTCTCTGGCACTCAGAGAGTTAAATTCAGTCTCCAGCCCTGGACCTGCAGCCCCAACTCCCCTTCCAGCCTAGCCCCCCACAACTGTCCTCAAACCAGACTCCCCCCAGCCACCTCATGGACCTTTTTTTGTTTTGAGGGGGGGTGTCTTTTTGAGACAGGGTCCCATTATGTAGTTCGGGCGACCTTGAGCTCACTTTGTAGCCCAGGCTGGTCTCGAACTTGTAATGAACCTCCCGGGTGCTGAGATTACAAATGTACACCATCAAGCCCAGCCTTTTTTTATTTTTTATTATTTTTTTATTACAGTGTAACAAAGTGTATTTTCATAAGTAATTATGGGCAAGTAATACATTTCAAGTATTTCAAAGCATTTTGCATAGAGAATTTATAGACCACATTTAACAATATAATCTAGTTATTTAACAAAAATTTTTAAATATCTAATTGTTTAAGAACTCCAGGGCCAGGGAGATAGTTCAGTAGAATAAATGCTTGCCTAACAAGCGTAGGGTCCTGAGCTCAATCCCCAGTACTGCAAAAAAATTAAAAAAAGAACTCCAGCCTAATTTTCAACAGAACCAAAGTATTAAATCATTTTATGGCACAAGACACCATAAACTTATCTATGAAAACAGCAGGTAGATTTTTGTGCTAAAAGAACAGAAAAAAAAAAAAAAGTTAATCCAAAAAATTCAGACTAGGAATTTGAAACTAGCGGTCAACTGAGGCCTAATAGCAGCCTTTGTGTATCAGATTTTATCAAAAATTCCAAACATAGTACACTTATTCTTTTTTTTTCCCACGGGACAGGGGATTGAATTGAGGACCCTGCCAGGCAAGAGCTTATTCTACTGAGCTATGTCCCCAGCCCCGTACATTTATCCTTTAGCAAAACTTTCTTTCTTTCTTTCTTTTTTTTTTCTTGGAACAGGGGATTGAACTTAGGCCCTGCGCTTGCCAGGCAAGCACTTATTCTACTGAGCCAGCTCCCTGGCCCCAAAACTTTTTTTTTTAAATTTATTTATTTATTTTGTGTGTGTGTGTGTGTGTGTGTGTGTGTGTGTGTGGCCAGCTCAGCCCACCAGGGGGCGGGGCTGGCTGGCATGTGGTGCTGGGGGATTGAACCGCGGTCCCTGTGATTTGCTAACCTTGTTCTAAGTAGGTGCTTTAGACCACTGAGCCATCTCACCAGCCCCCAAAACTTCCTTTTGATAACTGAAAATCTTGCGATTTTTTTTCATGCTTGTGAAAAATACCTGTTGATTTCAGGTACGGATGTTACCCTTGAGATGCATTTTGTTGTAGCTTTGCCCTAGGTGAACCTGGGTCCGTAACAGCGACACTGAAACGTGCCAAGAAAACTATTGGTCTTAAAGAAGCTTTACTCCTGAATAAACTGTGAGCCATTTACTGACCATGTATCCTTCCAGCTCTAAGAACAACCAGACAGACAAAACCCCAGCTCCAGACTGACCCTTTCACAGCACAGCAGGTCAGGCAGCGCTTCTCAACCACTGTGACCCATTAGCGCAGCTTTCAATAGTGCCCGACACTGATTTTCCCTGTAAACACAAATAAAATACTTTGGTATGGACAGACTTTTTCAATACTCATAACGGGCACTTTCTGGTGTGTAGGTAGACAAGAAATATCCTTTGCTTTCTAAGACTCTATTAAGTACTTTGCTTTCCATTTCAATTTATCGGGGCCGGGGAGATGGCTCAGTGGAATAAGCGCTTCCCCTTGGCAAGCGCAAGGGTCTGAGTTCAATCCCCGGTTCCGCAAAAAAAACAAAAATTTCAATTTATCTACCATTCTCCAGTTCTGTCTGACCCACTGGCATTCTGTGACATTCTGTACAGTTTCCCATTGCCATTACCTTTGTCCCAGCCATTCATTCCTCTCTGCCCCAGCCTGGTCATCCCCCATCTTTGCTTGTTATGTACTTGGGTGATTAATGTTAGCACTTCCTCAAAAGTTAGGTCTTCAATAAATAGAACTCATCAGGATTTCTGACCACTACTTCTTCAAGCTTTGTGGTGAACTTTAGATATTCCCTTTAACAATATTCTTTCAGAATGCTACTGAGAAATAATATTTTCAAAAACAGTCATTGAAGGGCCGGGGAGATGGCACAGTGGAATAAGCACTTGCCTGGCAAATGCAAGGGCCTGAGTTCAATCCCCAGTTCCACCAAAAAAACAAAAACAAAAAAGTCATTAAAGGTTTTTGGCATAAAAAATATTGAATTAAGAAAGTGATGAAGAGACATAGAACCTTAAAGAAATGCATAGCTTAGGAAAAGATGCCTCTACTGTGCTGTCAGCTCCAACTATGGCAATTAAGCTATCAGCTTTGGTGTGTGACATCAGCATACGCACATAATGGTCAGACCAAGAAATTAAATTAGGG